ATCTGCCCCTACTGGGCCAGGCAACAGATCCTGGAGCCCTTCTGAGGACTGGTGGATGCTAGAGCCTTATAGTCTTGCCTCTGTCTCCTGACAGACTGAGGGAGGAGGCCACCCTATTCCTCATCCACTGGGCCCTCAGAACTAGCAGGGCCAACCATATAGCCCCCTCTTCTCACTATTAATCATAGGAAAATGAGCCACGAGGCAGCTGGGAGTAAGGGGGCTCCTGTCACATGGAACTGCCATTGCTGAAACTAGGCAAACCATGATGACTTGGTCCCTCCAATGGGAAGTCAGGAGATTATTTTGTCTCTTCCTCTCCGGGGAGCTAACAAGGCCACAGGAGCCTTATTACAGCAGCCACAGGGAAGACAGTCGCTAAGGAAAGGAGGAGGGGCAGTGTGACTGGGGTCTGTGGGCTGGCTGAGTCTAGCAAGGCCTCAGGCCCCTCCTAGCCCCTTCTTCTGTCATGTCAGGGTCTCTCAGAGTCCCTGCCCTGCTTCTTGGGCCAGGTAATTGGGCTGGCTGGCCCCTGGGGGTAGTCTGGGGGTACGGGGAGTATCTGACATTCTCCTGCTGCTGGTTTAACCACCTGGGAACATAGCAGACAGATACTCCTCTTCTGCCTTGCCTTTTCCTCACATGAAAAGTGGGGCCAGCACCACCCAGCTCGCCGGGCCTCTGTGGAGGATAAACATGTCAAAGACTTGCAGGGCTTCAGGAAAGCAGGAAGGGCCCAATTGCCCTCTTCCCCACACACTTGGTGATCACACAATCTCCAGTGCACACTTTCTTGGGCTGGGGTCGGGGTTGGGGTGAGCAGGCATTAGTGTTTGCTGCTCTGGGAAGTCTCAGTCTGGGTTTTGACCTCTGACCTCTGTAAAAGCCTCTCACAGCAGTGGCCTATAGGGATTGGGCCACCAAACCTGGCTGTCACAGGTTCCCAGCAAGCTCTAAGGAGTGGTGTCCTGGTGATTGTCCCAGCTCAATAGCCAGATCACCACCTGAGCCCTGGATTTTCCTCCTGGGCAGTGGGAGCCGCCCCTCAGCTCTGGGTGGCTCAGCCCGCCCCACCCACCTAGGTTGGACTCTGACTTGCAGTGGGAGAGTAGCCAAATACTTCCTCTCCCTGAGGACATGGGTTTGAAGGCTGCCCAAGGAATGCTGAATCAAACCATGAAACCCATGCCAGTTTCAAAGATCAGACAAACCTGCTGAGTGCCTCAACTTCCTTAAAGGTAAAATTCAGGTGTAATAATGCATCTTCATTTCATGGGACTGCTGTGGGACAGAATGAGCTACAAAGAACTTCTACAGAGATTGAGATACATAATGATGACTTGAGTCATCCTTGCTATTTTTTGCTGGGAGTAGGAAGGGGCCACATGGTTTATTTGGAAAAGTGTGACCTTTGGAACAGGCAAGAATGAACTCTGGTTTTGTAACATACCTGCTGTGTGGTTCTTGATAAGTTGAGAACATCTCCCCTGTGTAAAATGGGGTTGATGATATTTAACTTGGAGGGCTGTTGCCAAAATTAGAGGTTACAGGGATAAAGTTCCCACCAAACACTTAGCACACAGTAGGTGCTCTGTAAATACCACGGTAGCCACTATTCTTACTATTCCATGTAATAACCATAGTAACAGAGACACTGCATACTTATTCTGAACCTTTTGTCTCCCTCATTTCCGGGAGCTAAGCCCCTCTGTGCTGCCCCACAAGTGGTAAAGGCACAAGCATGTGCCTTATTAAGTCCCAGGAGAGGAAGAGATAATACAGTCTCCCAACTTCCCATTGGAGCGACCAACTCATTGTGGTTTGCCTAGTTTCAGCAATGAGAGTTCCACATGACAGGAGAGCCCTTACTCCCAGACAAACTGGGAAGGGTGGCTTCCTTACTTGCCATTAACTGGGGCTAGTCTCACCCTGCAGGCACTTTCTAGTGCCTAGTGTTGCAGGATTAAGATCTGTACTGGGGACAGGTGGTATCCTTGTGGTAGAGTGCTTGCCTCACATGCTTGTGGGCCCTGGGTTTGATCCCCAGCACTGCAAAAACAAAAGAAAAACAACAATGAAAACAAAAAATATTTGTATTGAAAATCCAGAAGGACCTAGTAATACTGTACTAGCTGGAAGAGCCATCTTAAATCCTTTCCGATAAGGTAAGATCTAAATGAATATATGAAAATAAAAAATTAGCTCTGGTGTTAACATGCATTATAATAGGATAAGAAACAAACAAAATCTCCAGGTATGGTGGCACATGCCTGTAATCCTGCCATTCTGGGAGGCTGAGGCAGGAGGATTGCCCTGAGTTTAAGGCCAGCCTGGGTCACGTAGTGAATTCAAGGCCAGCCTGAACTACATAGTAAGACCCTGTCTCAAAAAAAAAAAAAAAAAAAAATATATATATATATACACACACACACACATATATCTATTATATACATTCCTTGTTTAACCACTGAGTTCCATTTCTTTGACTAGTTCATTAAGTGAATTGTTCACTAAATGAGGACTTGTATATAGTATGTACATTATAATATTCAAAACAAAGAAATGGTCAACTTGATGACTTTGCTTTTATTTGCAAAACTCTTACATGCAGTACTGTATTGTATAACAGAACATAAAACCACAGCACTATACTATACAGTACAATCAGCAAAAATTACAATATGTAAAAACAAAGTGTGCTATACAAAAAGACATTGAGGTGTACAGAACTGTACAAAAAGAAAAAGGTAGGTCGTAAGTCCGAACAGCATGCCTCAGTTTTAAGTTGTAAGTAGTAGGTTGTGAAAGAGATGAACGCTGAACTGAGGTGCAACTAAAAGTGCCCCAGAAGGGCAGGAGGAGAAGCTCTGGAAAGGTTGCAAAGGCTAAGCAGGGAGGGCATTCCAGGTGGCGTGAACAGCTGGGCACAGGCTCCAAGACAATAGTGACAATAGTGGCTTGTTAGAGAACCAGCAGGTGGTGTGGAGAGGCTGGAGTGTGGGGCGTATGAAGGGAGGGGAGGATTTGGGCTAGATTTTATATATATACATATATATGTTTTTTAAAATTTATTATTATTTTTAAAATTTGTTTGTTGAGATAGGGTCTCACTATGAGGTGCAAGCCACCCTTGAACTCACTAAGTAGCCCAGGCTGGCCTTGAACTTGAAGTGATCCTCCTACCTCAGACACTTAAGTACTGGGATTTAAGTACATGGTGTGCCACCATGCCTGGCTTTCTTGTTGTCTTTTGGCAGGGGCCAGGTTGTGGACAGAACTGGACACAGTCCTTACTGGGGAGTGATTTCATTCTGTGGACACTGTGGGTGGAGGGTCTTGGAAGACACTTGACAATGTGAGAGACAGTGGATCCTGCATGAGGTCACCTGTCAGTGTGATGCACAGCCCTGTAGAAGACCTGACTTGCACAATGATACTTGCTTTCTTCCCTTTTCTCTCCCTTCTCTCATTTGTTGCCTCCAATTCTTCCTCCACCCTCTTCCCTTGTTTGTCCCCTTCCTGAGCCTTGGGGGCTCCAGCCCAGGCCATAAGTTTTGTTGAGCTCTGCTGCAGTCCCAGGCAGTTCTGATGTTTGCTTCTCAACCCCCTAACAGCCTGAGCAGTGCAGCCCCTCTAGAGTGGGGAAATGAGCAGAAAGGGAGGAGTGTCCATCTTCTCCAGGGAAGGCAAGGAAAAAAGATAGCAGAACAAGAGCTTGGCTTATGGAAAAGGTAGCAACATGCCACAAGCTGCTGTGGGGCCAAGAAGGGGTGCGTGTGTGTGTGTGTGTGTGTGTGTGTGTGTGTGTGCGCGCGCGCGCGCGCACTCTGCTTGCCTTGTTTGAGCTATTTCAAGGACATGTTCTGTTAATCCACAGCGCTTTTCCTGAAAGCCTTCTAGAACTACGCTTGGTAAGAGAGAGACTGTATCTGGCAAAAGAAAACAAAACCTGGGTTGGGAGTATATCTCAGTGGTAGAATGGATGAGCATGAGGCCATGCAATCAATCCCTGGCACCCAGAGGGGAAAAAAGCACCTGGGAGAACAGGCCTGCCCGATACAAGCTGCAGCAAAGACATAAGGCACAAAGAGTAAGTGGGTGAAGAAAAAAAAAAGTGGTGGATTCAAAAGCAGCTTCTGCAGCTAAATTTCAGGTAGAAGCGCCTCAATCTGTACTGAGCCAAGTAAGGTACCAGGGCCTGGGCACAAAGATAAAAAGTCACATTTTTTGCCATCAAGGGGACATAAGCCTTGTAAACACATTAACACATCTGGAGAGAGGTCACCAAAAAATGAGCCGTCCAGGGCACAGACTGCTCACAGCGGGTGGGTGTGCTGGGAAGAGATCGTAAGGCTCTGGAGGGGAGCAAAGCAAGGAGGCCGGCGGGTTCTAGCCCGGGGCCCTCGCTTCGCACCGGTTTTCTCAACCTTGAACGCCGGCCTGTGCTCTCAAGTGTGCCCAAAAATCTCTTCGCAGCGCTCTCTAAAACGGAGATTCTTCGAAGCGGACCCCAGTTTACCGAATCAAAATAGTTGGAGGTGGGGCTCCAGAGCTGTACTTCTAAATCCACCCAGCCCTCGGGGCAATTTGAGGTTGGTGAGCTTCGCGTCCTAGTTTAAGGAGCTTGGCTTAACGGGGAGATGACGACCGGCTTCAGAGGTCGTTCAGGCTAGCTAACAAGGCAACGTGCATAAAAGAGCCTTGTAAACCAAGAGCAATCTACTTCTTCGCAAGTTATAATAATATAAGTAAAATATATCTAAATAATAACAGTAAAAGAACTGCAGAGCGCAGTGCAAACAGCGCAGTCCTAATCTATATACCACGGCGCTGTCACTCCAGAGCAGCCAAGGCGACTGTCCCTTTAAGGGACTCCCCCTCCCCCGCCTTCGCGCCTCCTGCGGGGCGACCGGCTGGGCCAGAGGCGCGTGCGCAAGGGGCTTCCCAGCGGGCGGGCGCGGCGGCGTGACGCTGGCGTTTGTGGCGTGCGTGCTGGCCCCGCCCCTCCTCCCCGCGCGGGGCCTCCCCCCTGCGCGCGGTACAGCTGGGCCAGTGACTCCGGCGCCGCCGCCACCGCGCGTTCCGTTCTCCGAAACTGGCGACCGCCTAGTCACCTCCCTTGCTTCCGCTTGCCTCCGCCGCCTCCTCCTCGTCTTCCCGCAGCGCCGGCCGGCGTTAGCCAGACAAGGGCACGCGGAGCCTCGCCTAGACCCGAGGGGGCTTCGGGTGCGCGCGGCGGCGGAGCGGATCGGTGGCGCGGAAGCCGCGAGCGCCCCCCTCCCGGACGTCTCCGCGTCGCTCCCGAGTGAGTTGTCACCGTGGCCGGGGCCGGCTGGCCGGCATTGTGTCACTCGCGTTCCCACCAGGTTGTCAGGGGGCGCCGGCCGGTGCGCACCGCCCCGGCGGACGCGGGCCGAGCCCTGCCGGCTCCTCCTCTCTCCGGCCCTCTGTCACCGGCCGCTCGGCTCCGGAGCCCCGCGGTGGTGTCTCTCGGCCAGGGATTGTGGGGCGTTGGTGTGGGCCGGGACCCGGGCCGCTGGACGCCTGGCTGGTGGCTGGAGACCAGGTGCCCAGTGCTGGGGGTCCGGCAGCCCTTGGCGGGTCGGTGCTGACGGCGGGCAGAGCTCTTTCTTGGTGGTGTTTCCCCCGAGCGGGAGAGCTGTAGGTCCCGCGCTGGCAGGGTTGGCGTAGCGGAGGTGCATTTCCTGAGGAAGTCCGCGAGCCGCTTGTGCGTGTGCGGAGCCGTGTGGAGCCCTAGCGACTCGTCTGGTCTTTAATCTTGAAAACTTTTCTCGTTATTTGGGCTGCAACTCACTGAAGCCACTTCCTGTTTTTTTTTTTTTTAATTTTTTTGTATACACATATACTCTTTAATGTCTGGGTTTTAGACACTGCAAATATTAAGGTGACTCTTCGCACGGTTTTGGCTCTGCAGCTGCTAAAGTGGAAAAAGTTGCCTGTAACGGGGTTGGGAGGGGCAGGTGGTTTGGGAAACAATAAGACCCAGGAAAAAGAAGCTCAAAATCCAGTCTTCAGCTGGTAAGAGGGACGTTCTTACTTCAATAGAGGCCTAATGCTGTGGTTGCCACGGAATTTTCTGTGTCAGGCAGTGTGCTGGGCTTTGTTGCTCTTGTTAATTGGGGTTGTGTGTGCTCTCTACAAAGGTTCAGGAAGATTACTTAGTTCAGTTAAACCTAGGTATTTATTGCCTTTTTAGATCCAGAGCATGGAGTGTGTCTTTCCACTCATAATAATTAATTCATTTCTTTCTGTTTAAATTCTCTTGCCAAAAAATATGTATGAATGATGTACACACTCTTTTTTTGTTTTAGGAATTCCACACCCAAATTGTCACCATCTAGTGGAGGCTAGTAGAGACATGCCCTTGGCACAGACTTCTGAGTTTTCTGAGCTTTGTATTTTTAGTTAGATGCATATTCAACCAGAAATGAACATTTTCTCAGTTGGCGGAGGTATTTCTTGACTTCAGTGAGGCAGTAATACGATAATAGCAATAATGTGGAAGACTTCTTGAGGACTCTGTACCAAGCTTTGTGTAGCGTTTTACTTTTTAATATCATTTAGTAACCAACAAACTTTTGAGGTAGATACTATCTTCATTTTTTCCATTGAGTCCAGAGTTAGAGAAGTTAAGTAACTTGTCCAAGATTACAAAGGTATTCTGGAATCTTTCTAGACTCTCCTCAAAGTACTGCTTCAAGTTGTTTCTCAGCTTTTGAGTATCCCAACTTCTCTCTCCAAGATACACATTTTTGGTATGTTTGTACAACACTTACTCATTAATTATTTTCTCATGTAGCTCACAAGTATTTATGTGATACAGAATATATGCCAAACACTGACACTGCAGTGAATGACAGAACCAAGCTATCTTTTCATGGAGCTCACAAAGTCAATTTTGGTTTATGTTGTTAGCTCTCATTAGGGGCCTTTTGTTACTTAAGGAACTTTTGCCTAGTAAGTTAAACAGAGGAAAGTATTGGTATGAAGCCTGGAGATGAGATTGCTGTCTATAGAGTGACTTTTTAGATACCTTATAGAAATGGAATATGAAACAAATCCTCACCTACTGCTGATCAGGACCAGGCTCTGAGTGCTCAGTGTTTAAGTCCTGAGAGAAAACTCATTGTCACATGGCACAGTTTGGCTTACTTGCTGAGGCTTGCCTTCTCAAAGCCCAGCATTTGGGCCCATTGAAAGAGGGAGACAGGTAGGATGAGGTATTAAAGGTGCAGGCTGGCAAGTAATGAGAGCTCAGTACTTTGCCTGGTTTCCTGGTTGATTTCCACAGTGTGGTGGTGATTGAACTTGTGCTCTTATGTAATGGTGCATCTTTTGGCAGGGGATTTCCTTCTTGGCTGTCGCTGGGGCAACAGTTCCTGCTCCTCTGCTTGCCCTCCACACGCAGGTAACATGCACCCTCCAAAGGTAATAATTCATTTGGCTTCTGGGTTCTAAAAGTAAGACTTCTTTTAAAGTTGATTGCTATTAAGCATTGTTTCATTCCCTTCATGCTTGTCATCCCCCAGATAAAAACTTGCCTTTTGTTTCAAACCTTACCTTGTGCTCTGTTATTCTTACCTTTCCTGACAACTGGTTACTGCTAGTATATTCTGTGAGCTCAGAGAAATACAATGTCTTAAAAATCAATGAGGAACATCACTGTCCTCATTTCCGTACCAAAGGAGGTGAACTGGGAGAGTGAAGCAGTGAGAAAAAGCCAGAGAGCAGCACAGGTGCTTGTTTTCCCCCTATAGTTCCCCATTTACCAAGGGACAATTCACAGGAAGCAGTGGCAGGGCCATAAAGCCCACTTGCAGATACCGGGCTGGGTTGCATAACTGCAGTGCACAAAGCATTTTATTGAGCTCCTGAGTTGACATACGGTCTCCTAGCTGATGCTGACAGGCAGAATTCATTTTCCTTCTTCTGTGTGACTGGCCTCTAGGGAATTCTTGTTTAGGGCACATTCCCTCAAGGAGTAGAATGATTAGGAGCAAATAAGAGGAAGGAATCCTGTGGCTTTGAAAGCAGACATTGCTCTGTTACAGACTTGAGTGTTAAGGATTAGGACATTTAGGTTAATGGTAAGCACTGAGACAAACACATACGTGACGAGACTCCTGCTTTCTCTTCAAAATGGTGTCTGTGGGGGGGGGGTCACTATCTTAACCTGTTTTTGTTGTCATAATAAAATGCCAGAAACAGGATAATTTATAAAGAATAGAAGTTAATTTGGCTCAGTTTTGGAGACAGATTTCCAAGATGCTTGGTGCTACATCCAGTATATACATGATATAGGGCATCTCCTGGCCATACGGTAGCTCAGTTCTCCCTTTTCTTGTAAAGCCACTAAGCCATCATGGGGCCTCTACCCTCAGGAACTCCTCTGATTTGTTTACCAGTACCTCCACCTGCTGGCCCCACGTCCAAAGAACATTAACATAGGAGTTTGAGGATTAAGTTTCCAGCACATGAACATTTAGGGGACATTTTCAAACCATAGCACCCACATATCCTATTATAGTGAAAAGTTTCATTTAGTGGGATGATCTTTTAAAAATTCATGTTCTTCAGTTGTGTTGCCACATCACAGGATAGATGAGAAGCAGAGCAATGAGAAATACTACCTGTAATATGGGAAAGCCGTTCCTCTGCTAATGGAAATGGGGGATGCGTTGGAGTTGGGGCTGAAAGGCTTTGTGATGAGCGCTTGAAGCCATTAAGGTACATCTGAAACACAGGAAGCAGGCAGGCAGTCAGGAAAGCCTTGGGGTGATTATCCTTGAGCATCAAGATCTGCTCACTGGATCCTGGCCCAGATTCAAGGCTTGCGGCCATTGTTCGCTGGGATGATTGTTAAGTTTGTGAGTGTTGCTGTAGAAAAACCTTTTTTGTGAGAAAGTAGAATCTGGAAGGCACCTGTGTTCTTCCTTCTTTGTGTGCTGGTATCTGTCTGTGACGATGGCCTTTTTAGTTTTTTTGGCCTAGAAACCAACAAGACTCGTATATTTGCTGTGTCATCCTCTGCTTCTCACCTGGGTATGGAAGTCTCCACTTTGCTAATAGACCTGACAGTGGCACAGAGTGGGGTTACTGAAGCAGTGAGAGGCCAAGGGTGTTTACTGTCAAGGCCAGGGGACACTGGAGTCTCTGTTAAGATACTGGGTATGGTGACAGCAGGAAGTGCAGCAACTGTAGTGAGAACTGACCCAGGTCTCACAGACTCTGGTGTTGTCTGTGATGTACTCTCCCTCTCTGGCTCTTACATCTCAATAAAGGAGAATAGCCACCCTGGAAATATCTGAAGGCTGGATGCCAAGAATTCATGCAGTACTCCCGAAACAGGATATTACTGAAGCATTTTCTCAAGCAGAAACAGATGTAGTCCTCCGTCACTGTGGCTAGTGTGAGTAGATCCTTAAAATTACCTGATAGCAGTGAACCTTAATGTACCCCTTCCCACACATGGGCACGAAGTATTTTTATGCAGAGCCCATTGCTTGACTTGGGAAAGTTAGCTTGGGATTCCTGATGACAGTCAAAATTCTCAGTGGGTTTGCAGGCTACAGAGGTGGTGACTGACAATTCTTCATTCCTCAGGAGAGGCTCCTCTGTGGTGAAAAATGAAATGATTCAGGATTTTTTTCTCTTGCAGTTGGAGATTGGAAACAAAACCTCAGAGAAGTGATATGAATATGGTTTATTTCCCGGCCTTCCCTTTCTTATCATTCTTTCTTTAAGGAAGAGAAAATATTTATCTAATCTTTGCAGATCCTGTCTACTGCCAGCAGTGACTTGCCTTTACCCACAGAAGTTTAAGATCAGAGTGTGGCCTACCCTTTGTGTAGACTGTCCTTGCTGAACTTTTCTTTGGCTAGACTAGACTTCAGCTTCTGACAAAGCCAGTAAAATGAAACTGACTTCTGGGAATGGGATAGGAAGCTGTTTATCCATTTCTTCCTTCTTTGGGTTGTTCTCAGTTGATCTCAGTAAACTAAGTGAATGGAAGTTTGAAAAAGAGAACGAGGTTGTTTTGCTTATTTTGCATTTTTAAATTGTAGTAGTATGAGCAAACTATTTGAGGAAAGATTGATGGTTTTTTGTCTTTTGTTTTTTGGAGACAGGGTCTTGCTGTGTATTCCAAGCCTCTAACCCCTGTCAGTCCTCCTGCCTCAGCCTTCCAAGTCTTGGAATTACAGGCATGTTGCAACTGTGCTTGGCTCTGAGGGGATGTTTTTTAAAGTTGCCAATACAGTAGGATGATTCTGGAAACCTTGAGAGATACAGAGGGAAAAAAAAGCACCATGATTCTATTGCCCAACACAAACATACTTTCTATGTATTTTTTTCTATTTGTAATGATAATCCCTGTACATTGAATTGTTTCTTTTTTTTTACTTAGCATTATACCATATTTTCCTGTGATATACTTTATTTTTTAATTTTTTACTTTTTTGGTACCAGGGATCAAACTCGGGTCCTTGCGTGCGCAGCAGGCGGTGAAACCACTGAGCTAAATCCCCGGCCTGATATACTTTATTTTTAATGGCTTTATTTAATGGCCATCAAAGAGATGAGCTGTGATTTAAATCTTTCCTTCTATATCTGGACTATTTCTAAGTTTGCCCGAGGAGTTTTTTGGTTTTTTTAAAGAAATGGCTTTGTTGAAGGATAATTTACAGTATCATAAAATTCACCCATTTAGAGTGTACAGTGGAAAAGCTTTAGTATATTTACGGTTAAGTAACATCTCTGTGGTCAATTTTAGAATATCTTTGTCACCCCTAAAACCCATTAGCAATCACTTCGTCCAGCCTAGGTCACCACTCATCTTTCTCTCTTTATATATACATGTACTTGCCTATTTGGACCTTTCTTGTTAATGGAATCACATGATATATGGTCTTCAGTGACCGGCTTCATTTACTTAGCATAATGTTTATTTTTTAACATGTTTCTATACTTCATTCTATTTTATTAGTGAATAATATATTCCGTTATATAGACATACTGTATTTATCAGTGAAAGGACATTTGGGTTGTTCCATTTTTTTAGATTATGAATGATATTGCCAAGAACACCCTTGTGTAAGTTTTTGTGGATGTATGTTTTCATTCTCATGGAGATATTTTAAAGGCTGCATTCATGTTTCTACTTTGGAGTTAACATTATTTTGTTATACAGCTTGAGGGAGAACAGTGTTATATAGCAAAGTCTCTTGGTTCTGTGGTGTTGAGGTTATATTACCTTGAATCAAAAGAAGATTTTACCAGAACAAAACAAAACAACCCCCAAACTCAACATTTGTTTCTGTAACTTTGGTGCAGAACTTCACGTGTCAGTGAGAGTGGACAGAGGCAGTAGTGCCCGAATTCAGTGTACATGTATTGCTGCTTTGAAAAAGAATTTTCATTGTGTAGCCCTAGTTCTAAATCCTGTCACTGTTTTATAGAGAGAACTTTACTGTGCAGCCCACAGAGCCTTCCTTATCAAATGTAATTTATAATTCTCAGAACCTTTTCTTTGTGAAAAACTCCATGCCAGGTTCTGTGCACCTGCTTCTGCTAGGCTAGGGACCAACCAGCAGGTGGGGAGAGGGAGAGGGGCTCTGAGTACAGTGAAAATGTGCCCTGAGAATCCTCCTTAGAACAGCTTTCCCAGAGCTCTTACAGGTGGACTTTGATTACACCCAAGGTTAAAAATACAGATCAGCCTTTTACACCAGAAGGAACAGATGGTGCTGCTGAGAGTGTCATTTCCTTTACAGGATCTACCCCTGGGTGGTTTTACATCTTGCCAGCCATCTTATTGGAATAATGCAACAGCATGTCTTCTTCCCCCCTTGCCCTAATTACCACTCCATTCATGATCAATAGCTGATTTTGCTTTCCCTGCTCCTAGATCCCTACTAAAAGCTCTTGAAAGCATACACATACAGGTCACCTAATTATTTTATCAGAGGGTCAAGATGACTCCATCCCAGAGAAACATGTGGGATAGGGCACACAGACTCAGTCCAACAAGATAGACAAAAATAAGGAATTTGGTATTATCTTCTCTGGGTTCCTCTATTAGGAATCAAGCACAAGATTAGTCCATCCTCCTGTGTGTGTGTAAATGTTTATAAATGTAGACACATGTGCACACATACAAACAAACACACCCACACTTTGGCCTTTTTTCCTGCTAGCATTCACTGCCAAGAGTTTTGGGATTTGGAACTGGCCGTGCCTGTTAATGCAAGTTCTATTCCCAAGTCCTAGGAGTTTTAAAAGGCTGAGTGAGGTGAGATAAGACACTTACCTGAAGATTCAGATTCTTGACTGTAGGTATCTAGATGATACCAAAACTTTCAAGTATGTGAAGAGAGACTCTGTAGGCTTATGACATGTTAGAGTTGGATGGATGAGACTTTGAGAATCTT